AAGCAGTGATTGTTCTTCCAAAACCAAAAGATAGAAAAGGGACGTCTGTATGACTAGAATGGATGCTAAGACAGTATTTCTACTCTAACTGGTGTGAAAATGTCAACTTTTCCCATTTGGAAGTTTTAAATGGCTCAATGTTTTCTGACAAATACTCAGTTGATCCAAGAAGGGTTTTGTACCAACCCAGATCTAACAGACTATTTGCTGTAAGGCTAAAAAACTGATGTCAAAACTTTCTTTTTTATTATCAAAACGTGTAGGGAACATGCAACGTCTTGTGAAAAGGTGTGGATAAACTGAATGTAGCCTAAAAAAAACAACAACTTATCTCTAACTTGGACTTGAAGATCATTTCTGCTAAGATTTAAATTGCATTCATAAAATTTCTGTTATATTTTTTACTTACAACAGAGTATGTCCAATCCTAAACAGATCTGTGTTTTTATGGAAACAGTTTGAGAATATTTGTTTTGATGAATATCGTTTTGTAAGTCCTCGGAGAATCGTAGGAATGGTGTTTTGCTCTCTTCTTTTGCAACTGAAATTTCAGCCAGCTGAGCTTAGAATAGGACAAATGGCGACTATCTAATTGGGCCCACATGTTGCTGTTTTTTGTTTTTCCTTTTGTATCATGAGGCACACTTAAGCATGGGTACTAACAAAACGACACACATTGAGGAATGTTTGCAGGACGTTTGAATGCCAGGGATTCCCTTCATGCTGGCCGTCTGCCAAGGCTGCAGCTGGACTTGGAATTCTTGCTGCAAACCATTGAGCGCAGCGTGATGGTTTCCTCTTAGTAATTTACAAAAATAAAAAGTTGTTCTTGTGTCTAATTACGTAACTTGGGAAGTTTAAGATTTACTTTAGACATTTTTTTTATAAAATAGCACAGATGAGGCCAGTTTCTTGAGGTGGGCATCGGTTGTTAAGTGGGTTATCTGCACGAGAAAATCGGGGATGAACACTGAGGTTGTGAACATGTCGAGGCGATTCACCCCGTTGGACACATCGGGTTCATTCACAGTCCAGTTCATATTCAAATCTTCCCACCTTACAGTGCAAGTGTTCCATATCCTGCGCAAGAATGCACATATAATGCCCTAAATGAGAACATTTGTCCTTTTTGTCTAATCTGTAGCCATGACTGAATATTTGATTGACATTAACTTTTATGTCCTTTTCTGTGTGAACTGTGAACACAGTATTTGTTTGTTTTCCTTGTTACTGTGAAGTCATCCTATGGCACAGTAACTTGATTAAATCTAGCTGGTGTTGTGACTCAGTCTAAGAGAAAAAGCTCTAAAATTCAGCTGCTTAAAGCCAGACAATGTGGTTAAATTAATTGAACTTTCATCTCCCTGTTTCCACAGTCCATCTGTGCTTGAGCCACATTGTTTCCTCTTGCTTCTTTGCTTGAGTGCAATTCTGAGTGTCCCTCCCCCTAAACCGTCTGTTATTTCCCTGCTTTATCTTCTTTGACTGTGAAGGAAAATAGTGCATCTTTCCTTTCTTAATCCCCCCTTCTCATAACACAGTCCCAGTTAATCAGTCAACCAGCTATCACTGGAATTCAACCAGTAAACACCCTCATGGAGGACGCGTATCCCTCTTTTCCTTATCTCGTCATCTGTGAAAGAAACCCTAGCAACCATCACCCCTGTGGTGCCTGGAACCTGATGGACAGATAAACTCTCCGGCCCAGGGAGCCGTCACTCCTCAGTCGATGTGTGAACGAAGGTGCTACCTCGTAAAGTGTTCATGCATGACTGGGGTTGTATGGGTCTCATTTTGTTACATTCACCCCTCTGTCTGTGGAGAGTCTGTACAGAGAAAGGGGGGCTGCTGATTGAAGGGAAAACACTATAAGAGGAAGGACGCTGCAAAAGAATAATAAAGATTATAGTATTGCATAGTAAAAGTAGAGCTTAGTTTTATATTTCACATAGTAACACTGGGGTGTAGGAAGATGTTAAATATAAAGTTAAGAGTGGTATATAAAAATATAAAACTTTCTCATTATGATTCGATGGATATTTTATTTTATTTTGCTAATCTTTTTGTTTTGCAATTAAACTAGATGTGGGAAGCAATACTTTAAAGTCATTTTTTTCACTTAACAATGTTGGAGTTGACTGCAAGTAGTATAAACATTTTGGATTTTCTTATTTACATATCTGTCTATCAATCTAAGACTGCCAAGAATTTCTAAAACAGATCCCTGTACCAACTTATTACAGTTATTTTGACATGTTTGTAAAACTCCTCCCACAAAACAGTTAGGAAATATTTAAAACTAAAATATAAAACTGAAAAATGCTGTAATCACTGTGATGTAGAGTCATTTCACAGCTTTATATATTGATATTAAAATATTGTCCAGCCCTATCTTAAACACACACACATATCATATTGTTTCGATGTGTAATCTTGGATTACCGGTAATTAGCTGCTGACTAATTACTCAGCTAATATTGGCTCAGGAAACTTATTTCACTCTTCAAGCAGGAGGAGCTAAAATATGCCATATTCTGCAGAACTACCTGTTGAAAATGTGCAATAAATTTATCAAAGGTGTTATAATTGATCTTTTTCTTTTATCAAATGTTTGATTATTTGCTGTCTTTCAATTATGCTTTATACTTTAAGATGTTTTGTGTAAATATGATGATTACTTGTTTCATAATGGCCCATGCATTCTGTGGCAAAAAATTATCTTTTTTTTTGTCTAAATATGATTCCACATTTCCAGTTCTGTAAAGTTTGACTTCTAACCATTTAACTTTATTTCTAACTTTGTATTTTTTTTTTTTTGGTGATATTTTAATAGAGCATACATTTTAATAAGCCGTTTCACATATTGGCACAAACACTTTCCTTTTTCCATCCCTCACTTAGTGTCTTAGTGGTGACAGGTTAGGGTGTGCAGTCTTCACCCAGATATCTGCGCTGTCCCTCTGACAGCCTGCAGTGCCGTGTTTTTTTTGAAAAGAGTCTTTATGATAAATAGCATTCCAGGTTCTGTGTGCGGCTCTGGAGGTAATATTGCTTCATTGGCCTATGGCCTTCTGTAAACACAATAGAGATGTATGTGTGATGCAGCAGGTGGACCAATTTGTCATCCACACCATGGCTATTATTGGTGTTTCCCTATAAATCCACCGGCGTATTAACAGATAATGGAAAAAGTAATGACCACACCACCACTTTTAGCAGATTATTCTAAATAGGAACTCAGGATTGTATAGATAATGATGATAATAAGATTTTTCTTTTTTAACCCTCGACAGTTCTCACTCAATCCATATGTCCTAGCTGTCAGTTGTATCACGTTATTAGGCTTAACCAAACACAGCTGAGTGTGTGTGACTTTGTAACCTGCCATAGAGGAATCCTAGCCTGGCTTTTCCTAGCAGCTCCATGTGTGTTTATACTCTGCTTCTGACCCCACGACCCAAAGAGGTAAGATGTTCACTAAGGTGAGCTGCGGGTCACAGACACATTTAGATGTACTCTGGCATGCTGTGTGAATACGTGTGCTTGTATGAGAGGTCGGCTAAACATGTATGTGTAGTACGCGTGTTTTGATATATGAATGTCAGGGGTTAAGTTTCTTTAACTTAAGTCATGTGTGGCATCATCTATCTTTTTTCTATATCTGGATACTTTACATCTGCTATTCTGCCGTCAGTCTTAGTTTAGGTTGATTGAATGAGGCAAAAAGATAAATAATTACCCAGACTGCAGGGTTATCAGTTCAGCAATAAATAGACAGCATGTTCCAGGTGTTGATGCAGGTATTACTTGTCAGATTTGGAAAATTTTGGAGAGGAACAGATTTTTTTTGTGTGTGTCTCAGGTCTTTTATTGCAGCCTAATCTGAATTTGAGATTTCTCCTCCCTCCCTTACATTGTCCCCAAAGTATTTTTGAGAGAAACTTTTTAACAACCATGCAAAGGTTGTCACATTTATAGTTAAACCTGCTTGATCCGGGGGTAAATATGCTAAATCCCCCCTTTTTTTAATGTTTTTGTTCACCTGTTGACATCTGCGTTCCCTTAAGTTAAGAGGCTTTATTCCTGTATCTCTGTAAAGATGTTCTCTTATCTGCCTTACTTGAATTATAAGTTTTGTAGACTTTCATCTTTAGAGGTTTGGCTAATCGCCCTTTGTGTCCCACCATAATTATAACCAAGGTAGCAGGTATTCATAGATTACTACTTAAAAGTTTTCTATTAATATCAACAGCTTAAGTATAGCATACCGGTACATAAAAAAAAAAAAAAGCTTCAGTGAAGCTTATTTTACAGAACTAGTTGGCTGTGGCAAACTGTGGCTCTAAATATTTTGTTGAACTATGAGTTATGGTTTTGCTGAAGTTCAAAGTTCGAATGCTACCGACTGCAATAACAAATAGATTCTTTTAAGGTCTTTTGCACACCTTTACTAAGTGATTCCGAGATGTGCTGCATTTATTTCTGCAAATGCAAAATAATAGAAATAAACTTTAGAATACAAATAAACGTGGGTTGTATGCTGGCGTGAAAAGCAAATTATTCTAACCAAAGGTTATGGCTCAAAGGTTAAAGGTGAAATGTTTAGCAATGCAGAAACATCTTCCTCCTTAGCTTTCTTGGAACGACCTTTAGCTGTTGCTCAAAAATAGATTTTTGTACTTGTATGGAAAGCATGGAGTATTTAGATAAATATTTGGTACTGGTACTGCTCTAATTGTGTCTATTTAAATTTTTAAACTTTTATTTATAAGTCTGTAGCCATTAGTGCTTCCTATAAAACATTTTGGACTAAAATAAAAAATATAGGTTATTCAGATTTTACAGGACCTATTAACATGTTTGTCATGACAGTTATGCTGTTTTGCAAGCCGTGTTTATTCATTTTATTTTTAAGGTGAAGACAAGAGGGTCTATAATCAAGCACATCCTGAGCCTAAACAAATATATTTTTAAGTATAACCGTCTGTTTCTGCTTTCAGCACTGTACGCACTTGGGACGTGAACTCAGAAAAGAAGCACAAGTTGGTGTTCAAACCTCGCTCCCAGCAGGGGAAGAAGGTCGTCCCCACCTGCTGCACTTACAGCCGCGACGGGAAGCTCATTGCAGCAGGGTGCCAAGATGGCACCATCCAGATCTGGGATCGAAACATGAGCGTAAGTGTTGAAAGTCATTACAAACACCACAACGTGTCAGAGATTGATAATCCAGTCATATGCCAGAGAGGTTAACCAAACACAAGCTATGAATAATTCAGTATAACCACCTTTAACTCTATAACTGTCAAGGACTCAGTTTAACTCTGAGTGTTCTCAACCTCTTGAAACCCTCCTAAGCTGGACCTCTATGGCTCTTATTTATGACTTTACCTAAAATGGTAAGATAACTGTTAATTAAAATCCAGGGAGAGTAGACTTTCTTTGTGTAGCTAGCACCACCAAGGGGTCATTTTGTCATATTAAACATAAAAAGGTTTTGAACACAGCTGTCCCATCCCCCTTTGGGTACCACTATTCCAACAATGTTGGAGATACAGCTGACAGGGATCATGATTTATCAAATAAATAAAAGTAATCTTTACTGTATCTGTTTATTGACTTGGTTACAGATGCTGAATAGAATAGTGTCTATGCTTGAAAAATCTGCGGTACTATGCTTTACGCACAACTCTGGATGTATAAAAACAAACGTTCAGGAAAAGTGTGCATTTCACCTTCAGTAAAAGTTTGGTGCAGTTGAGCTAACTTTTTCAGTCAAGCTTAATTGCAAGCTTCAAAGTATTTAAAGTAATCCAATAAAATGAGATTTTGCTTTGCTTTGTTTACCATAGGTTTTAGGTTCTAGGATTTAAACCTGAATGATAAAACTGAATTGCATATAGCCTCATACAGCACCATTGCACAGCTACAGAAATGATGGAAACATCCTCATTCGGATGCTAGCTGTTAATCCACTTTAATTCTAACAGAAAAGAGGTGGTGAATCAGCAGTTTACGTTCAAACAAGTCAGATGTGAGGATTAATCAGGGTAGCAAGGTGCAGACCGATGGTGGCAAGTATAACATCAAAATAGACTTATACCAGAAACCATTCAAATGTATACTAAGTTATCACACCAGTATATTTACATAAATGCCAAAAAAAAAAAAAAAAAGATAAAATTTTCTGAAAAGTGCTTTAAATCAGTCCTACCTGTCTTAATCCATGCTGGGTCAGTTGCTGACATTTGGAAAAGGAGGCAGGAAAAGCAGAATAGAGCGATAGCCCCGCTGCATACAGTTAGCCAAGCCTTTTTCCTCATTAATTATATAAACTTGCCAATCAGCTGCAGTTTATAACAGACGACTGTGACGTCAGAGCTGTGAAGGGAGGTGGTGTGCAAATAAAGTTGCTTTCAGCTATGAGCTCAGGAGAACTGTGCCCCAGGATATTCCTATCGTTAGCAATAAAGAGGAGCTACGGTGCATGTACAACTTTTAGCAAGAGTCTATAGGCAAAGATTATTGCGTCCCAGGGCGGAAATACGTCACCAATCTGATTAACAGCTTCACTCGTCATTAAAGATCATATATTTATCTTGCACATCAAAAAAAAAAAATTCGATATATTTCGAAATAATTAAATTTTATTGCTTCATTTTTTTATGTTTTGATCAAGTTCATTTGGAGATTGGGGCAGCGCCCTTGCGCCCTCCATTGGCCAGTCGCCACTGGTGCAGACAATGATGGCAATAAATAGCTGAGTAAAGGCTTGAGTAATTGTGCAAGGATGGCAGGCTTGGCTCTTCTGGAAGACTTCACCACGTCTACTCAGATCCTGCTGACCTGCTGGTAGATGATGATGGATGGGACATTATGTTGTTTAGATAGTCATAGAGCGGCACAAAGGAACCGAGTGGGTTCTTTAGGAAGTTGCTAATGTCATTCAATGAGTTTTTTATTTGCTATAAACAATGTCCCTAAGGTGTCCTTACAACGCTCACTGTTATAACTTGATGGCACCATTGTCATGGTTATTTTGACTTTTGGTGAGTGCTGTCTGGTGTTTATAGTGGAGCAAAAACCTGAGTCTGGGATAATTTCTATCAATTTGCGGCAACACGATTATGCATTGCTTTATACATCTTACTTTTTCTCAAAAAAGCACAGGAAATCTTCATTAATGCATTGCCTCCAAAGGGAAAGGTGACAACAGTTTTCATCTAGGACATCAGTTGTTGAACAAACTGCATAATCCTGAACATCTAGAATTGAAGTGCAGCACTGAGCGACAAATTCGTTGTATTTGTTGTGGTGACGATGCAGAACACCTATGGTCCGGTCACAACCCAGACTGAAGTGGTACTGAAGCGCTGCAAATTCATGTAGCTCTGAATTTTTTATGTAATCTGCAGATGTTAAAAAAGGCACTCTAAGGAACACGTATTGCAGTTTAAAATCAGCAACTTTTTTTTCTAGGCAAGTTTTAAATGAGAATTCTGTTTCCCAACCAAATTCCTATTCTTTCTAACATCTGTAGGATGTGTTATACTATTAGTATGACTTAAAATAGCCCATGACGTAAGCGTAACAACAGCCTTTTCATGGCCGACTTGGGTTGCGTAAAAACTGCTGGGAGGCCTGATTACAGTTTCCATCAGCACATTTTCCACAATTAGTTAATTAGACAATTATCTGATCAAAGCGTGCATTACTTTTCTTCACGATTATCATTGTTTAGGTATGAGTTGATTTTGGCTTTGAGGAAGCTTAACCGTCATTTGTCTTGCAGGCTTTACTTTAGTTAATTTCTTAGATCTTCACAGGGGATAAAAGGAATTATATTTCAGGCTTGAGAATGCACCACCTCCATGTTTCACCAATATGGCTATATATAAGCCTGTGGGTTAATGCTTGGGCAGCTAAGGAATACTTCAAGCTGCTGTTTCCTTTGAGAGTTTTCTTTCTTTTTTTGAGTCATTGTATTTAAATCATTTAATTAGAGAACATTTTTATTTTCTCTTGGAAAGATTAAGCTGATATGCTCACAATTTGTTAATGCTTCAAATCCAGTGTAGTATTATGTTCCATTTTTAACAGCTTCAAGGAAACAATACATTATATTGAACAATAAGAACAGTATTCACATAGTAAACATAGAGGGGATAGTAGTGGAATTTTTATAATTAAATCAAAAAGTTGTCCAACTCAAAAAAGAAAATGTCAGAGTGCGACAAACATTATCTGTCGCTTGCTTTAAGGTCATTTTCTAAAACTTACATAGTGCAATTAGGTATTGCTCCATTTTGGAAATGCAAAAGCTGCTTTACTCTTAGTTTAAAAATGTTTTAGATTTTGCTTTAAGGCTTAAAACAATAGAAATATTAATACTTTATCTGAAAAAAAAGAAAAGAAAAAAAAAACACCCATTAAGCAATGCCAGGAAAATGAAAATAAACTCTTAACCTTAAAACAGAGTGGTGTAAAACCACCATATTCTAATGCCTTTATTTTCTTATGGTCATATATTTATTCTTTCTTATTACAAGCCACTGTCGAGGGTATAAAGGGCCACATGTGCTGAAGTGCAGACCCCTCAGCTGGTTTCTACAAGATAGTTGTTTTGTTTTGTTTTTTTGGCTGCTTCTTTCTATATTTGTAATTTGTCAAACCCTGTGCAGTATGTGAACAAAGTTGAATAATTCGGTCACATCCTGTGAGGATTGAGATGGCAACAATCAAGCTGTGGTTAGTGAGTTGGAACAGCTTGATTGGAAAGAAGGGCTTATCCAGATTAAGTCAAATGGGAAGTAGGCTACATGATAATTGCTTCAACGGCCAACTTCATCCTCAAAAGACACAGCGACTTTAGCTTAATTTGTTTCCTTTCTCCCTCTAACTGGTTCTTTTTCCTGGTATGAGTGTGTGCTTCCTGGTTCTTCATAAAGACTCCCACCTCTTCCCCAGCCACCCATCATCCCACCTCTGTGCTGCACAAAGCAGCATGCCTCAAATGATTGGGTTAAAGCTTTCAGAATTTATTACCCCTCCTTCTCCAGGCTAAATATTTACCCTGCGTCCCATAGCAGCTTACAATAGCCATCTCTCTCTCCTGACCACTGGAGCCTGTCTTGTTCCAATGGCTAGAGAACTTTTCTTGTTACCCTCTGCTCTAATCAGCAACTTGCGCCGCTGACTCAAATTCAGCCAAAACCCTAAAAAGGAGTTGACCTTCCAGTGCTTTTATTGCTGCTCCCTCCTCCAGTTAAATGAGGCCTATCTCCTGTTATATTGCTACTATTACTCATGCACAGAATATGCAAGCAGGTCAATCATGATCAATTACATACATGACCTTGATCTGTGGCTCAGGTTGAAGAGAAGCTATTGGGGATGACATGGTGTTCTTCCACCATGGTATGAGCTGATTGATCCAGTGATGGGAGTCAGACAGGTCGCTTCCAGTGGACTGCAGCAGAGAGTGATTGCATGTCCATCCCCTGACCACAATTATGAGCTCACATTCAGGTTGCTAGGTTTATGAGCACTCTGAGAGACTTGTCCCCCATCCAAAAACATTACCACAGAGACTTAAGGAATGCTATGATGTCAGCTGTGAACTTTCATGTTTCCCGACTTCAAAGCGAGACTACAAACGAGATAGTAGGAATACCTTGGTCTGTGCAAGTGTTTTCTTCGTGTGTCAAGGCTGATTTTCAGTGGTAATCTCCATAAGATAGCTTAGCCCCCAGAGAAGATCCTCATAGGTATTTCCTACATAACATTCCAGATAAGTGAGATGTAGTAATGACAGTTATACATTTCTAATGTATAATGAAATTATGTATATAATGTATTGTGGCCTTATCCATCAGGCTGAAATGAAGGGCTTTACAACGAGTAAAATGGAGTAAGCTGGGAGATTATTCCAAAGTCTCAGAGCTGCCTTAGAAAAGGCTTGTTCTACCCCAGTGCTAATATTTACACCTTAGCTCTTCCAAAAAGCTCTGATTAGAGGTAAACTGAATGAAAATTAAAAATACTTATAAAACAACCAACATTCCAAAACATGTAGTTGGAAAAGGCCTATACAATGCAAACATTTGCGCATCTTTATTTTCCACAAATATTTAAACAGCCCTATGCTAATTTGGCTTGTTTGCCGCATGGTAGAAAAG